AAGATCCCCAAGGTGAACGTCGCCGACGACTAGAGGAGTCCTCCGTGACAGAAGAACAAGCCGAAGCCGCCTGCGCCAGCATTCCTGATGAATTGGACCGCAAGGACTGCGTGTATGATATCATCGCGACTCAAGATATGGACATTGTCGGGGCATATTGATTGTGCATCAGCATCTCACCCCTGAGAGGTAGTCCATCTCTTCATAACTTTATAGAATATTATTGTGTAATAGCCCCAAAGTTGTCACAAGTCGGAATTGGTGGATTAGAAGAGCAGGAGCCCAAGGAGTGTCCTCGAAGTTCTGGGCAATATCCTTTATATTACGCGCGTTGATCGTGGGATGGAATGAATTTGTTAGGTTGTTCATTTACCGCAGTGTATCGCTCCAAAAAATCGGAGCAAGGGTAGAACGAAGTGGTAACTGCCTCTATTGCGAGAGCATGCAGTTGCTTCCAACCAACGAAGAGGCAATACAGATGGCAAAGAGGTTGCGGCTTGATGCTCGGGGCTCATCTTCGTAATCTCCGTGAATGACAAATCTACTTTATGCTTAACGGGAGCAGTAGTTCGGAAATAAATGTGTGGTGCCTTTGAATAATTGTGTTTGTTGTAACAGTGGGTCCTCCATGACTGAGAGAAGGGAAGTGTGATTCGACGTCGCATTGCGCATCGATGGACACATTCAATCACATTTCATGCCTTTTGGAATGCCAATTTATTAGGTGTGTTTCATGTGTTTCGAAAATCAAACTATTTCTGTACCATAAAAATCATGCTCCATCTTGGTCGTGCGCGATGCTTACACATTTCCGTTTTCTAGTCTTGTTTCTATCGATCACCTTTTTGGATTCAATGTGGCATACTCCTCATAAAAGAGATAAACTTAAACCATCATGAAATTCACTACCATTCTTTCATAGACTGCTTTGCCATTTATCTCGGTGAAGGATACGGCTGTGTTGAAAGTTCTATTACTCTTGTCGTAGCAAAGGGGGGCGCTACAATTCCATCTATTTATTAAGTAATCGATCAGTCTTTTGAGATATGATTAAATCCAGCATTTGGGACGTTTCTATCCTATCTCAATCATAGAGATCCCCAAACGGAACGAGGCGCTGTTGTGAGGTAGATTAAGCTGGCAACCCTACTAATTTGCTCGTTCGTGAGGAATGGTTCTATTATTGCTGTTGTTGTTTCATTCATTATAAGAGCAATAGTACGTATGGATTAGACACTGTGCCCGCAATCGCTTGAAAATCCACACACAGGTTTTTTCTGCCATTTTCATGGTCATCACTGCGTTCGCGTCTTCTGGTACTGATACCCTGGTATGGCAATGCTCTCCAACTTGAAGCGTTGCCATGCATTGCAAGAAAATCTTCCTTCCGGCACGGTGCCTGCAGTTGGGTTCTTGGCACAAGAAGCCATCAGGGAATTGCAACTTTTCAATAATCAACTTTCGAGCAGAGCATACCAGAGTCGTTATTGAGCGAATAGAACTATCAGCTGATTGTGGTGGAGTTGGTGCTCCAAGGATCGATTGTGCATGCTGCGCAGTGAGTTTTGATCTCAGCTCTTCAAATTGAGACGAAGTTGAGTGGAAATGTACAGGTCTTCTCTACAAGATTGCTGAGAAAGTAAAGGGTCTGAGACAACTGGGGGAACATGGTACATAGAGCCATGACATGTATTTTTTTTATTAATCTTTTTAAAAGAAAATACTAATCATCTCATCATATCCGCCACGAACTTGAAACATGTAAACTCGTAAATACATTGCAAACTTGGGGTCATTGACAATGACCGGACAAATAATGCACAAAAAATTGGTTTGTCACGTTTTATTAACACCACCTGACCGTCTAAAATTTACAGGGGGCTATTAATATCTGTTTCCATTTTCCCCCGAAAAAAATCGAACTGTCTGATACGACGGTTTCTATGCACAATTCCCTTTTCTCTAATGGGGGGTTATATAATCCCATTGCTCTAAGAATAACCCAAGACTGTTTAATTATTTTGGCAAACCAGACTATTATTGGTCGCTAACCACATACATATGCATCGTTTTCTGCTGGTACCGGTAGACACTACTAGTACTGACCGCTTGGTCGTGGAGGAGAGTAACCAAGTTTCTGATTAGTTCATAAAATAGCACAACTGATCATGAAGCTATTGTCAAGCTTATCGCTAACACTCTTACCTGCTGTATGTCTTGCAGCGACTGAATATCAATGTCCATTACCCGATGCGGCCAAGAAGTTCAGCGCCATCGTTCTAGAAGATATGGACAGTGCTGCTCACAACGTGTACACCGGTGTTGCCGTTGGAGGTGTGTTCAAGAATACTAAGAAACCCAATTCAAATATTGCAGTTGATGGCGAAAGTTTCGTTGGAAGCGTCCAGACCCCCATTAGAATCAATTGGAATAAGGGCATTAACACTGGATCCACGTTGGAGGATGCTGGTATTGACTGGTCCTACTTTGAATACATGGCGAAAAACACCTTTTCCACCACCAGGAATGGATACAAAATCGTGAGAATGACTTCGGGTGGAAACTTCAACACTTATTCTTTCAACAATGGAGGCCAAGGTGAAGATAACGGGAAAACAATCGTCTTCTTCGACACCAACCAAAAAGTGACCTTGACAAAGACAAACGATGGTCGCCAGTTCGGTCCAACTGTCATCGCTCCTTTCTCCGAGGTTGAAGTTCATGGAAACGCTGGTTTCGTGGATGGTCTCATTGTTGCCAAGAAACTGATCACCAGCGGAGGGAATCCTTCCCAGTTGCAACTCCATGGTGACTACTTTAAGGGTAATAATCTTCCTTGTCTAAATCCACCACCGTCAGGTGCAACTAGTGGTCCGACTGCTGCACCTACCGGCACTCCGACTCCTGTTCCTACTAGTGGTCCAACTCCTGTACCTACCAGTGGTCCAACCCTTGATCCAACTAGTTCACCAACAGCAGGACCGACGAATACCCCTCCGACTGTGGACGGTGGCGCTAAGGGAGATCCTCATTGTAAGTATCTGCACCCGGTTCAGTCACGCCACTCTGCCTCGCTCGGTATCTAACATTTTGTGGCACCACTCTTCCGAATCGCAGTCAAGACCTGGAAGAACGAACATTATGAATACCATGGTCAGTGTGATATGATCCTTGTCCAAGACCCTGACTTCGCCAATGGATTGGGAATTGAAGTCCAAATCCGAACCAAGCTTGTCCGTCACTGGAGCTACATCAAGAACGCTGCTATTCGTATTGGTGAAGATGTCCTCGAAGTGGAAGGAAGCGCCGATCCTTCCAGCAAATTCCAATACTGGTACAACTTTGAATCTCGAGCCAAAGTGGATACTTTTGCTGGGTTCCCTCTGACTATCAAGCACCGCGCAGGTAGCAATTACACGGCAGGACTAGAGATTGACTTGAGCTCCATGTTCCCAGGCGAGAAGATTGTTGTCGCCACATGGAAGGAGTTTGTGCGAGTGGACTTCAAAAACCCAACCGAGGCCTCGTTTGGAAAGTCTGTTGGTCTACTCGGTGACTTCCATACCGGCGAGACTCTTGCTCGCGATGGTATCACCGTTCATAATGACTTTTGGACCTATGGAAACGAGTGGCAAGTCCTTCCAAATGAATTCATGTTGTTCCACGTTGTCGAACAACCTCAGTTCCCCAAGAAGTGCATCGAGCCTGAAGATCCCCAAGGTGAACGTCGCCGACGACTAGAGGTGACTGGAAAGGAACGGATTCGACGGAGGCCCGAACGGCACGTTTCCAAACACACCAAACAGAAAACGTAAGTACTGCTACTACTACTACTACTATGTCGGATCGGAAATTGTGAAGTAGAGATGATTGCTATATTAATACGTCGATATGTTGCATGTGCAATTCTAACCTACTATCCTTGCGCCTGCGATGAATATTCATTCTGAAAAATTGACAATGATTGATTGAAAAATTGACAATGATTGACTGATCTCTTGATACTATGATCATAGAACACCACGAGATGCGGCTTTGGAAGGTCACTTTACGCTGATTGATATTGCCGTAGAAGATGAAGGATTGCTAGCGCGTATTCCGGGAAAACGATACAATGCCATTGGTACTTTTTGCAAGATCGAATGGAAGAAACAACAAGAGAATCCGAGTACAGTTCCAATGTTTAAGGATTTGCAAGCCCAATCCTTCATGTGCGAAGGCACTCAAGTCGAAGTCGATCTCTTTGATCTGGCCCAAGATGCCCGGGCGTATGATGCTTCCTTTAATGATCCTGACGTATTCACGGGCAAGAAGAGTGTCGTTTTGCCAGTGGAACCTGCCGGTTTGGTCTTTCACGAAACTCGGTGTGGATCCACTTTGACTGCCAACTTATTGGCCGCCTTTTCTCCCGATCACTCACGCGTCTATAGCGAATCTCCACCACCCGTCCACGCTTTGAGAGCTTGTTCTGATCGACCATGTGATCCCGACAAGCATACGCAATTGATCAAGGATGTCTTTTATTTAATGGGCCGGACACTACGGGTGGACCGACCCCAACATGTATTTTACAAAATTCAATCGATTGGTACCATGGACATTGACAAGTTTACGTCCGTCTTTCCGAATACTCCGTGGGTGTATCTGTATCGTGATTCGGTCGAAGTCATGATGTCCCACTTTAAGGATGCGGCTGCCCAGACGCTCAACAAAAAGGGAAAGAAACGATTGCCGGTGTGCGCGAGAAATTATGTCCGACCCATGAACCGACAACCGCGCACCACTCAAAAGATTTTGCAAAAGCATGACAAGACAATGGAAAATATTGAAGTTGCAGAATACTGTGCTGCCCATTTGGTAAGCTTCTTGTTATCTTGGAGCAATCTATTATTCATTTTGGGTGTGACAAATCGAATTCAGTATCTGACCCTTTCCTCTTCCTTCTCTTTTATCAATTGCCCAAATACAATCATTCTGCTTCTCCATTTAATTCCATTCCATTCTAGGCTGCCTTGTCCTTGGCCGCCATTGATGAGCACAAAAAGACGGGGATGGGGAGATTCATCAACTACAATCAATTACCAGAGATTGCTTGGGATCGAATATTACCCGAGTTCTTTGACATCAATCCCATTAGCGATGGCATGATCGAAAACATGAAGCAAGTAGCAGGTGTCTACAGTAAGGGCCGAAACAGCAAGGCCAATCAAGTCTGGCAAGAGGATGCCACCAACAAGCACAATCGGGCCACACCCCAAGTGATTGCGGCAGCCCATGAGTTTTTGAGTGACATTTACGATCAAATGGAGAATCTGTCAAAAAGTTAATATATGAAATAAAGTGAAGTACAACAAGATACATTAGCAAATGAAAAAGTTTTTGTATGTGTTTGTTTGCAAAAGTATCCCTAGTATGTTTGTTTGTTATTGTGGTCATCAATCATCCAACTTAAATTTGAATGACGGTATGATCGTCTTCGTCTTTGATTTCACTACCATTATTCGACGGAGCAGGATTGTCCAATTCAATGGCCACGGCTACTGCCGCTTCAACTGCCTTTTCGGTAGGATCTTCCTTTGGCGCAGCAGTCGTAAGCTCATTGGCAGCCGCGGCAACCGCCGCGGCATGTTCGGCTGTGGCAGCCGGAGAAGGCTTGCGGGCGGTTCCCTTCTTGGCAATACTGGTAGACCAACGGAAGCCTAGACTTGTGAGTTTCTCGTATCGCTCGGGAGTCATCCGAGACTTCTTTCCCTTTTTGGAATTGGCTTGTTCGAGACGTTGGTTGCGAACCCAGTTGGCCAGTTCAGTGTCCTTGGCGTATCCCTTGGGGACCTTGCAGTGGCCAACTTCTTCCTTGAACTTGACAAGGCGGTCAAACAAGATATTCCATTGTGCCTTTTGAGGGTCCCATTCAAAGCCAATCGATTCGAGACGGCCAATGCGCTCGGGGGTGATCTTGCCAGTCCCCGATTGCTGGAAGATCCAATATTCCACACGCTGGTAGTGAACCCATCGTCCAAGACGAGGATCATCGTGGTAGCATTGTGGCACCAATGTATGATTGTTTGCTTTCTGCAAGGATAATTGGATAATGATTAGTTTGAAGCAATGATGTGGTGCAACAACAACAACAACAACAACATTCCAACAATGACTTACCTTGTATTCCACGAGTTTATCAAACATGTTGTTCCACTTTTCATCGTGCTTCGAAAGAACTCGACGAGTTGGCATTGTGGTAGCCCCATCTGCTCGTGCAGCAGCCCCAGTCAAGCTCTCCAAGGTTCCCTCTCCGCTTGGATTACTGGAACCACCATCCGTCTTGGCAAACTTGCGAGGCTCTGATTTTCCGACTCTTCGCACACGCTTTCTGATTTCCTTGCGCTTGGGTTTCTTCGGTGTCTCTCCTTCCTTAGCAGCCGCCGCCGCAGCAGGAACAGGGACTGCTGGCTTGGAGGAATCATCCTCTTTCCCCTCGGCTGCAGCTTCGACTGCAGCCTCGACTGCAGCCTCGGGTGCAGGAGTCTCCACAGCTCCATCAGCGGCAGGGGCTTCCGTTTCCATGGCAGCCGCTGCTGCGTCTACGGGCGGTTGTTCTTGTAGGACCTGTTCCACAATGGGATCCACAGCGTCTTCCATACCTACTCTTACGTTCCTACTACAGTACTCTTGGATGGAAATAATCTAGTCTTCCTTCCTATCCCAAGCAAGGTTATCAATGATGAATAGTCAGAAACAGCTTCAAAATTGTTCAAATTAGGACTATGATAGGAGCCTCCTGTTATTCTGTGTGCCTTTCAGTCTTCTTCTTGACGCAAGTTCGATACGAAATGCGCGAGGAGAGATTTACAAAGCGTATCGAGCCTTTCTTTCATGCCTTCAGTATTCTG